GGCCTCTTCGCGGCTCCCCTCAGCCTGCTGGGGCAGCGGGTGGTCTGCCGCAGGGGCGCGGAGCGCATGGTGGGCAAGCGCGGGCGCTGCCGGTGCTTTCGGCCGCGTCTGCTCTCCGCCTTCTTGCAGGTGCGCGTCTGGCTGGAGAGCCCGCCGCCCCCGCGCCATCCCGTCGCTGATTCGTCGGCGGAGTCGTAGCGCGAAATCCTGCTCTCGACCGTCTTCGTCCCATTCGCCGAGCAGGACCCGGGCGCCGAGTGGCGCGCCTGCGTGGAGTGCGCCGACGCGGCCCCGGGGGGGCACGGCAGGGCCTGGGCCGCGTTGCCCGAGGAGTCGGCGCGGCCCGTTTCGCGGTGGGCCGACCGCCGCGCGCCGCGCGCCGCCTTCGGCACTGGCTTCGGCGGCGACGTGGATTTGGACGGGCGCTGCTGCTTGGCCCCGGTTGCTCTGTCGCCCGCCAAGCATTATTGGCTCGAGCTCGGCGGGCCCGGTCGGAACGAGCGCGTCGCGCCCGAGGATGCGCGCGCGAAGTTTCGGGGAGTTTTGGGGCGTGGAGGTCCGCCTGCGTCGCCGCGCCCGCGTGGGGGCGTCGCGCCCCGCGCGCCAGCGACGCGCGCCCGGGCGCCTTCGTCGCGGGCAGAGGCGCGAAGCGCAGGTTGAATCGGCGGCGCCGTCGCGCGACTGCCATCGATTTGGCGGGCGGTTTTTTCGAAATTCCATTCCTGGGTATCCGCGCGGATAACCTTGCCGACTCGCCCAGCTGCTGGCGCGGCCTTCGCGCGGGTCGAAGAGGCAGTCAGCGGGGGCGGGCCGGGCCGCCCTCGGCTGCAGGCCGGGGGTGGCGCGAGGCCATCTTCGCGCGATTCTGTTCCGACCCCGCGTCGCCGGGGCGACCTCGCGAGACGGTCGAGCAGGAGGCGCCGGGGGCGGGCCGGGTCGGCGAGAGCGAAGGCCTGCGATCTTGCCGCCAGCGATCGTCGCGACCTCGCGCCCGCCCGCCTTGTCCGCGACGTGCCCGAGTTCTGCGGCGGCGGCGCTCCGGCGGAGCGCAGAGGGCTGAAGCCGTTGCGCTCTAGACGTGGCCTTCTCGTGCTGCCGCATGGGTTGGCGGATGTCGAGCGTGGGGCCTTCGCGCTTGGAGCGTGCCTTCTCCTTCTGCCTGGAGTTTTCCCCCGGCGCTATGCGGCGCGGGGGTTGGGCTGGGCCTCGGCGCCCCCCGGGTCTTGTAAATCGCATGTATCGTTCGTTCTGAAACGCTCTAGTAGAGTGGATCGCTGAGTCTGGCCTTCATCTCGTCTCATTTGACCAGCGCCTTCGCGGGTCCATCTCTCCGAAGCCAACGTCCATCGTCACCAATGAACCATTCGCCGATGGGGCTTTGGGGATCAATCGTCGACATCGCCGCAGGTTCTTTTGGCGGGCTGAGTCCAGACGGGGATTCCTTCCTACCCAGTTGGCTCGTTACCCTCCGCAGCTGTGCCAGGCCCTGATTGGCCTGGCAAGGCCGACGCCCTTGCCCGCAGTGCGCGAAAGCGCGCGTTGTCCAGCGATCCTGGCAGGCGCCGTTGGTGCATCATTCCGTTTATGGTGATCGTCCTCCAGCCAATCGCGGCGCAGAGGTAAAGTGACACCATCGGCGAGTTCAGTTCTGACATGCTGGACTTGGGCAACAAGGTGCCATTGCTTCCTGAAGAGGAGCTGGATTGGCTGCTGGCGGAGCGCGTGGTGGACGCGTTCGAAGAGTCTGGCGGCGTCAAGAATTCGGCGACGCTGCTGCCTCCTTGGCGTCTTTCGCGAGGGCGATCCCGCGCCATCGCTGCCGCGCGGCTTGGAAGGCGGCGGGCGTTCGGCGATCGCGTCGGCCGCCCTTGCAGGCGCCCGCGGCGCCAGCGGTGCTCGCCTCCGGTGTCGTGAAGTGGCTCGCGCTGGCCAGGGGGAGTGGCTGCGCGGCTGTTTCGTCGCTGTAGTTTGCAGGGCCTCCCCTGTGCATCCGGAGGGGAAAAAACACACGGACACAATTGATCCTCGATTCCCCGGAAAAGATGGGAGAGTACGGCAGGTTCGCGTCGTGTCGACCGGCGGCGACCCCGCCAGCGGCGTTCAACGTTGATTGCCGCGGGCGGCCCAGAATCGTTCGATGTGGAACGACTTGGACGTTTCGGAGACGCCCGATCGTTCAAGGTTGAACGATCCCCGCGGTGTCAGGAACCAACGCCAGGGTCGACACGACACGAACCTGCCGTATGGGAAGTGGGGGGGAAGACAGAGACCCATAAGATATGGGACAATATCTGGGGCATCCTTTTCTTTGTGTGTATTTATCTGTGCGTCCTGGGGCCCCTTCAGTGCATCCCGGGGGCCCCGGGCGCTCCATTTGCGACTCCGGGATCCAGACGGCCCCTATCGGGTCTCGCCTGCGCTGCTGGGCGCGCACAGCGCGGCCCTGAACAAAAGGTCGCGTTTAAAGAACACTCGATCGCTTCGTGGTCCTCCTCCTCCTCCTCCTCTTCCTCCTCCTCCTCCTCCCCCTCCTCCTCCTCCTCCTCCTCCTCCTCCTCCTCCACCTCCTCCTCTTCCTCCTCCTCTTCCTCCCCCTCCCCTCCTCCTCCTCCTCCTCCTCCTCCTCTTCCTCCTCCTCCTCCTCCTCCTCCTCGTCCTCGGCGAGAACCAGCATTTCTCTCGGCGAGAACCATCGAAGACCATCCTGGACCATCGAGCAAGAACAAAACAACACGCACGAAACCGATAAATGCACGGGGAATGGACGCCCGAGCGACGGCAAGGTTTAACGAGCACTCGATCGCCTCGTGGTTTCGGCACCACATTTTTCGGTTATTCCTCGTACGAGGTGACGAAGTCTGTGGAACATCGCGCCCCCGGGCGCAGCGGCGTCTAGGAGTATTAATGCTATTATTAATAAGTCACTAAGTGTGGCAGTAATCTTAATACCAAGACCAGTGAGACGACCAACACTACTACTATCATGGTAAGACGAATCATCTTACTAAGCATATGATAGTTCGAGCCGTACGGCTAATCATAGTAGGACTAGTAGTGTTAACAAAAAAGAAGCGGCATATTTTCACACATAATGATACAAGTACTACGAAGAAGCATGCGAATAATCAGAAGGATTATAATACTATGAAGAATAAAAAAGAAGAGGAGGAGGAGGACACAGGAGGAGGAGGAGGAGGAGGAGGAGGAGGAGGAGGAGGCGTCTTGGGGGTCTCCTGGCAGTTTCCTGGTGGCCTGTTGGAGGCCTCTTGGGGGCCTTCTTGGGCCTCTTTTGGGCATTTGGGAGCTTCTTGGGAGCCCCTTTGGTCGTCTGTGGGCGTTCCCTGCACGTCTGACGCCGTCGGAAGCCGTCGGAAGCCGTTTTTGGGGCCTCTCTGGGCCGTCTTTGGGCCCTGGAGGAGGAGGGAGGGAGGAGGAGGAGAGGAGGAGGAGGAGGGAGGAGGAGGAGGAGGAGGGAGGAGGAGGGCGACGAGGAGGAGGAGGAGGAGGAGGGAGGAACGATGATGATGATGATGATGAGGAGGAGGAGGAGGAGGAGGAGGAGGAGGAGGAGGAGGAGTAGCAGCAGGAGGAGGAGGAGGAGGAGGCGGAGCAGGAGGAGGAGGATGGAGTTCATTAGAGCTGTAGCGCATTCTCTCCCCGCACTGGGGCGGTAGCGTATCTAAGGCAGGCTCTGGCTCTCGCTCGAGGCACCATCGCAAGGCGCTCGAGGAGTTCAGGCCCCACCGCGCGCCCCAGAGACCGTCTCCAGGGCGCGCCCCGGGGCGCACCAGGCGCGTCCCAGCAGGGCTCTCGCTCGAGGCATCCACGCAGAGTCGCCCCCCAGCGCGCGAGGAGGTCCGGCCCCACCGCGCCCCCAGGGAGGATTTTTTGGGCACGCGCCGGGGCGCGCTGGGTGTGTCCCAACAGGGCTCTCGCTCGAGGCATCCTTTTGCAAGGCGCGCGAGGAGGTCAGGCTTCTCGCCTTTCTGCTCCACGCTCGCCTGATCCTCGCCCGCGTTGCCCTCACCCTCCTGATTCTCCCCCTCGTGAGCCTCGCCCTCCTGATCATCACGTTCATTCTCCTCTCGATCACTCTCCTCTCGCCCAGAAGCGCCCGCATCTTTCTCTATATACAAAAGCTCCCGATCAACTGCAGAGTGGTCGGCTAGTATGATTAATCGTAGTGCAAATAATATTGAGGGCAAGTAAATGATACAAGTAGCAGGCAGGGAGCAGGTGGGGAACACGAGAACCCATCTCCGCAGGAGGGTTGGCAAGCATGCGGCAGCAAGACGCTGCACGTGGCTCCAATGAGGGCCTAAGCTTTGCCCCGACGGGTCCCCGACAGAGCTCAGGAGAAGCCCAAGTGTTAGGACACACGCGCGTGAGAAGTATTCGGAGGAGGAGAAGGAGGATGGAGAGCATGCGCTGGGTACTACTGAACGGGTTACGGTGCTGTACCGCGTCGGGAAAAATGTGTCTTCCGCCTTTTCTGGGTGTTGTCAAATTATTTTAGTGGGGCCCCAGGAGGCGCCTACGAGGCGTCCAACGTGGCCCGGGAGGGCGCCCAGACGGCACAGGATGGTTCTGGGAGGCGCTCGATTCACAGTGTTGTCTGATGTGTCATTTTCCGAGAACGTGCGATGAAAATTAATAGGTCGCCGTCGCAAGTGAAGTTGTTATTGGAGATGTCTGATGAGTAGGAGAAGCAGCGGGATAATGAGGAAGGAGGATAAGTCTTTGTAGGAGGGCCGGTCGGACGAAGGGGGAGGGGTAAGTTTCAACCTGGAGTTTGTGACACAGACGATCTGGTTAGCGAGTCGGTTGAGGAGCAGCCTGTTGGGTTGCGGGGCCTTTGTGGGCCTTTGTGAGGCCTTACTTCTCCTCCATCATTATCCTCGCACTGTCCTTCATCCTTGCTCTGTCTCTTCGTCCATGTCGTCGCCTTCCTCCTCCTCTTCCTCCTCCTCGTCCTCATCCTCGTCCTCCTCGTCCTCTTCTTCCTCCTCCTCCGTTGTAGCCTTTTTGGCACAGAGGCCGCCCCGTGTGCCGCACCCTCTTCCAGCCATGGTCTGGCAAGTGCAGCTCCGGGGGCAGTGGCAGGACATGTCCGAGGAGGACAGCGTGCAGATGGACGCCTACCAGAGCAGCGGGAGGCCGCAGTTCCAGGTGCAGATGCAGGGCCAGCTCTACCACGTCGATCTGCACGGCAGCCCGCCGTGGACCCAGACCAACTCCAAGACGGGCACGTCGCGGCGCATCCGCCGGTTCTCCCCGCCCAGCAGGAGGCCCGCGGCGGCCCCCCTGCTGGCGCCGGCGGCCCCTGCTGCGCGGGCGCCACCGACGCCTTCCGGGAGCTCAGGGTTCCGGGGGGGGCACCTGGACCTGGAGGGCCAGGCCTCGGAGGGGCACGGGCCGGGAGGAGGCTGGCTGCGCGGCCTCTTCGGGCAGCAGGGGGCGACGACCAGCCGCGCCGGCTACCGCCAGGCCCTGCAGGAGCCCCCTGCTCGCGGGCTGGCGGGCGGCCCGTGCGGCCTGGACTGGGGCCAGGCTGGCATTTTGGTAGCGCTGGTGGTGCTGATCGTGCTGCTGTGGGACACGGTGGTGGTGTATCCCCTGAAGCTGCTCGTCGTCTTCCTGCACGAGACGAGCCACGGAATAGCCGCGGTGCTGACGGGGGGCAGTGTCGACCACATCGAGGTGAGCTCCCAGGAGGGCGGCGTGTGCTATACCATCGGTGGGAATAGATTCCTGACGCTGTCGGCAGGATACCTGGGCAGCACCTTGTGGGGCGGGCTCATCCTCGTCCTGGCGAGCCGCACGCTGTACAGCAGATTCACTTCCATGGGGCTTGGCGTCATGACAGGCCTGATTGGGTTGGTGTTTGTCCGACCGTTTCTCAGCTTCGGCCAGCTCTTCGCCCTTGCGGCCGGGGCCGCGCTGTTCGCGTCGGGCCACTACCTCAGTGACAGGTTCAACGACCTCCTGCTGCGGGTCATCGGCCTTACCAGCTGCATGTACGCGGTGTTGGACATCAAGAGCGACGTCTTGGAGCGGCCCGAGGCACGCTCAGACGCGGCCATGCTGGCAGAGGTGACTGGAATACCAACCGTCCTCTGGGGTCTTCTGTGGATCTCTGTGGCAGCGGTTGCCGTGGGCTACTTCGTGACCCAGGCCAGCAAGCCCCAAGCGGCGGGCAGCCTATAGTGCCACGGGTGACCCGAGGCTCGCTCCGATCCGTCTCGTCCTCCTCCAGATCGACCTGGTCCTCTTCTCGACCTGTCTTCCGCCTCCGCCTTCTCTTATCCCTCCTCCCAGCTGGTGCCCTCTGGGAGAAAACATGCGGCACGTCAGATTCACCCGCTGTTGCTACCTATTCTGGCAGCTGGTCGCTCCTATCCGTCCTCTTCAACGGGCCAACTATTGTCCATACAGTTTCTCTGCCCACAGGATGAGGACGAGGCGGTTGGTGAGGAGGCCTTCTCTCACTGCCCCGAGGTTTCGCCTCAGTCTCGGCCTCCGCCTCCAGCTCGAGCTGTTGCTGCTCATCTTGCTGCTTCTTCATCGTTGTCCTAATCCAGATCTTTCTCCAAACAAGTCGTAGACCATACACACATGAATTCATCTGCACATACCATGTGAGCCAGTTGGGGTCCCAAACCGTATGCTCTTGCACCCTCGATGTGCAATACGTGCGTTGCAAATTATATGTCAGGTTCTCTGTGTATGGTGCAATGGGTGTCTTGCAACCTATGTGGTGAAAGCGATGCGGTGCGAAACATCTGGTGTCATCAGTATGTTGCAAGCTGTGCGGTGCGAGCTGTGTGGTGCAAGCTATCGTGCTAAAGCTTCGTGATGCAAGCCTTGTGGTGCAATCTCTGTGCTGCAAGCTGTGCGTTGCAAGCTACCTGATGCATTCTGCGCAGAGTGCAATGCATGCGGTGCACGCTGTGCGTTGAAAGTTGTGCCACGTCACCGTAGACTCGCTAATGGTGTGTTAGCTAACGTTGAAGTAGGACATCCAGTTGTAGGAAGGCGTGGTTCGTGGCCAAACCAATTTTAGGAACGCGTGGTTCGTGTTGTCCTACAGCTCGCTGCGTCGTTTTCGCTCCATACATTCGCACGTTTGAAATGTAGGAAACGGCGTTTCGTGCTTTCCGACACTCTGTGCTGCGCGAGCTCGGTGTCACAAGAGTCGGATTCCCAACATCGCCGTGAATCAACATCGCCGTTGGCTCGGCCTTCGTGTCAGCCATACAGGGCAGCTGCGCGCTGGTGCGAGCCACGTGGTGCCATATGTAGCGCAGGCCATGTTTCAGGAGGAAAAGAAACACACAGACATCATCAATCCTTGATTCCCCAGAAAATATGGGAAACTATGGGAAGTCGGGAGAAGGCAGAAACCCAGAACATATAGGAAAACATTGGGAATCTGTGTATTTGTGTGTATGTTCATTTGTGTCTCCTGGGGCCCCTCCAATGTCGTGGGAGCCGTGCGCTGTCCTCGGCGCGCGGGACGCCCGCCAGAGAGGTGCCCACGGGCGGCCGCCCGCTGGGCACCCGGCGAAACATCCCGCCGCGACCAGGAGGAGGAGGAGGAGGAGGAGGAGGAGGAGGAGGAGGAGGAGGAGGAGGAGGAGGAGGAGGAGGGGGGGGTGCAGGAGGAGAGAGGAGGATGGAGGAGGAGTAGAGGAGGAGGAGGAGGAGGAGGAGGAGGAGGAGGAGGAGGAGGAGGAGGAGGAGGAGGAGGACCCCGCGCGCGCAGCAAGTGAGCGAACTCAGCGCCAGAAGGCAAGGAGTAAACGAACGAGTTCAGATCCTGCTCTGGCAGGGCACCTTGTGATCGTTTTTATACTCATTGTGCTGCCGATCGTCGCGGACCCTCGCACTCCCCCCCTCCCCCCCCCCTGGGAGTAGATCTTGGCTGTTCTTGGCGCCTGTTTCGAGCAGGTGGAGTCCCTCATAGGACGCACTGTCGCAAACAGTCGCACGAAGCAGAGGTCCAGAGCCAGACCCACCCCCTCTCTTCGCTCAATGTCGAAACGCCGAATAAAAACACTCACCTTCCCAGGGCGTTGATGGGGCCCCCGCGCCCAGTGCGGGCGCGGCAGCGTGCATCCAGGGCATCACAGAGCGTTTGAGCCAGCCTGGTCCAACAGAGGTACAATAAGAAGACCAGCATTGAGTATGTCAGGGAAGTAGAAGAAGGCATTTGAAGGAATAATGATACTGATGAGAAGCGTGCGAAGAACTTGTTGGCGATGCACCTAAGGAAAGTCATATTTAAGTCGGTCGTATACATACATCATGACCACATTGTAGTACGACTACACTTGAGAAGCATGCATAGTGGTAAGACGAGTCATCATATGAAGCTTGAGACGTTGCAGTCCTGTTCCTCCCTCTGCCCCTCCCGAACCCATCTCTGCCGCTCACCCTGGCTGCTGCTGTCGGCCCAGCTCGCCCCGCCCCTGCCACTTCTGCCGGGCCTCTTGCTGCTGCTGCTGCTGCTGCCGCTGCTGCTGCTGCTCCTGGCATCGCTCGGACGTGTGCACTTTTCCTTCGGCGAGGACCATCGAGGAGCATCCTTGATCATTTGGCGAAAAAAAAAACACGCACGACACCGAACAAAAACACAGGGAATGGACGTCCGAGCGATAGCCAGTGCTCATCTTGCATCTCTCAGGGCGTGCAAAGATGCCGGAAGTGCCCAGGGGCTCCTTGGTGGCGCGCTTCGATGTTTATATTCGCGCCGCGGTGCCTTCCAGGGACCGCGCCTCGCCGGGAGTGTTCCAGGAGTGTCCGCATCGCCCCGGATGGCCGTCGGAGACGAGAGTACAGTCGGGGCGCTGGAGAAGGAACTCTTTTCGTTGGGGAGAGGCTCCGTGTTCCTTCATTGTTTCACAGCTTGCCTCAGGCTTTCCTTAGGTTTTCGATGGGGAATCGACGTTCACCGTCGGGACAAAAGGGGCCTCGTTCCTTATTTAGGATTCCTTAGGTCAGCGCCCCGACTGTACCAGTTTCTCCTCGTTGTGACAACGGGAAACATACCGACACCGCTGCCAATCCCTCGTCGCCGCTGCTTGATTCAGGTCGAAGTCGCGGTGTCTGCACTGTTATGTTTCCCCAGTCGTGTCCTCTCCCTTGTCTTCGCGGTCCCCCTCTTGGGCCCCTCTTGCGGCCCTCTTCGCGCTTCCTTGGACCGCCTTGGGGGCCCCTTGGGCCGTCTCGGGCTGTGGAAGACGATCACGGGAGAGGAGGCAGATTGCCAATTAATTTCCAGATGTCTACACAGTACTAAAACATGTTTACAACATGTTTCGAACATTTTTGAGCATGTAGAAGATTTGTGTAAAACAAGCATGTTCAATTCAATGGAAGAACGGTGAGAGTGTCCATTGTCATGGCATCCACAAGACTCGGGGCTCTCTTGGTGGCCTCTTGGGCCGTCTGGGGGCGACCGTGGGGTCCTCTTGGGCCGCCTTGGAGCGTCGGAAGACAGACAACACCAGAACGATAAAACACATGCAGGAAACCAATTGTTGTTCCCTCTTGGGGCCGTCTTGGGCGGCCTGTTGGACCCTCTTGGGGCGCATTGGGGACCTCGAGTTCGTCTTGAGGCCGTCTGCTCTTGGGCCGTTTCGGGGCGCTCTTGGGCCGTCTCGGGGCGCACGGGGGCCCCTATTGGCCCGTCTTCGGCGCCCTGGCCCCACGCAATGCCACGCCGCACGCCCCGAGAGGCACGCGGGGAAGCCTGGGGCGCGCCCGGGGGCGCCCAGATCTCGGGGCTGCCACTCGGGGCTGTGGGCCCTCGAACAACGAGAGCCTCTACAACAGTCAACGCGGTGCTCGGGAGGGAGCGGAGGGCACTCGGCGGATGTAAAGGTTCGGGGCTCAAGAGACGTGGGTCGATGCGGGGCGTCGCGCCTCGGACCCTCGAGGAGTCGGGCCCCGGAGCCTGGGACCCTCGAGGCCTCGGGACCCGGAGCCTCGAGGGGCCAGGTGCCCCAGGGCACGGTGGCGGATGTGAAGGTTCGGGGCTCAGGAGGCGGGGGTCGATGCAAACGGGGGTCCGCCAGGGCGCCGGACTTTTGCAGGATCCTGTGGCGGCCAGGGTCGCAGCGACCCGGGTTGGGGTGCAGGATCTTGCAGGATCCCTCGCGTGGACCCCGGTTGGGGTGCAGGATCTTGCAGGATGCTTAGGGGGCCACATGCGAATCCTACCCCTGCCCCCCACGATCTCTGAGGGGGGTGGGGGTCAGGGTTCGCATGTGGCCCCCCAAAATTCTGCAGGGCCTGCCTGACCCGGGTCTGGATGGACCCTGGTCAGAAGGTCCCCGCAGGGTTTCCTGCTCTGTTTCTCGGGTCGGGCGAAAGGGGGGGATTGGGAAAGGGGGGGTTACGAAATTTGCTGCATGCAGCTGGTTTCGGCCCCACCGAGGGGCCCATTCCTCGATACATGGGCCGCCTCCGGCGCCGGGAGGCGCCGGGAAAATCAGCTACGTGAGCTGATTCTCAAACCCCCCCTTTGCTATCCCCCCCTTTCGCCCGACCCGATCGAGACGCCAGCACGAGGACTTGACCGCCCTGGGCTCGGGAGGGGCCTTGGCCTCCGGGCCCCGCTCCTCAGAGGCAGGGCGCGGCACCGAGGCGTGGCCGAGGCCAGCCGTGGCGGTCCTCATATCCAGCGCTCCCAGGGGGGAGCGCGATGGCCGTATATTCTCTCGTCCCCTCCTCCTCGCTCCCCCCTCCTCCTCCATCCCTCTCCCCCTCTCTTTCTCGTCCCTCGTCCGTCTCTCCGCTCCTCTCCTCTCGCCCCTCCTGCCCGCCTCCCCCTGCCAGTACCTCCCTCCTGGTTCCTCCTGCTCCCGTTCTCCATCGACCCCTCCTCCCCGTCCCTCTCCCTGTCCCCCGCTCCCACCGCTGCCCCGATTAACCCTCTTCGTTGTCGTGGTCGTCGTCCTCGTCCTCCTCCTCTTCCTTCTGCTCGTCATGTTGAAACGATGCGCGAATCGTGACTTTACCAGGGAGAGGGGTGAGGTGGGGCGGGACCAGTCACGGGCGTCGTCGCGGATCACTCGAAGTCGGGCCGCGATATTGCTCTCGATGCCGTTATGGTTATCGCATTCGCACGTTGCTCCCAGGTTGCAATACTCCGCCTCACCGTGAGCAGGCGCCCCAGGACCGAGCACAAACAAAGAGGATGATGAGAACGAGGAGGAGGAGGAGGAGGAGGAGGAGGAGGAGGAGGAGGAGGAGGAGGAGGAGGAGGAGGAGGAGGAGGGGGGGGTGCAGGAGGAGAGAGGAGGATGGAGGAGGAGTAGAGGAGGAGGAGGAGGAGGAGGAGGAGGAGGAGGAGGAGGAGGAGGAGGAGGAGGAGACATGATATAAGGAGGAGGAGAGGGAGAGGAGGAGGAGGGAGGTCGCGCCGCCACGAGCGCATCACCGTCTGGGGGCCGCCGGCCGGCGCTCCCGGAGGCCGCCGCCGGCCTCGGCCTCGCCGCCGCGGCGTCGCTCACGGCGGGCGCAGTGCTGCCGGCGTTCGTGGCGCCGCCCGCCGCGCCCGGGGCGGCCCAGCCCATCAAGCAGTGGCGAAGCGTCCTGGCTCGCCTGTAGTCGGGTATAGCCAGGACCCCCAGGTAAGGGGCCCCGGTTAGTAGTAGGGCCCCAGAGCCCCCAAGTTGGCCAGAATCACTAGACCCGGTCTGCCGTAGCTGGTGCTTTCTTCGGGTGACGGCAGTTCCGGTGAGTGGAAATGGGACGGGGGGGCGCCCCCAGTACAGATCACTAAACCAGGTTCCACTAAACCCAGTTCTACCAACGCCCGATATAGCCCCACCAAAGAATGTTCTAAGAACCTGTGATGGTTTCCACGAAGTGTTCTTAGAACATTTCTGGCGGGGGCTGTCTTGTTTGAACACATCGGGTGTATGCTCTAAGAACATCGTCTTTGTTCTTAGAGCATTTCTGGGGTTCTAAGATCATTTCGTGGTAGGACTATAGGAATGCCAGGAGGGTCGGTCCCTGCTCAACAGAGATCCAACGCAGCGAACAAATCTGTCTCGGAGGTTTGTCGTATTTCTTGGGGGCATTTTCGACGGAGGTTTTCCGTATGGTAGTAGCCTTCGGCCAGTGCCGCCCATCCGGGTCGCTTGGGGTGCCCCCCGGACTGGGCGGCGACACTTCGCCGACAGACACGCGCGTACACGCTCGCAGACATTGCGCGCACACGCGCACACACACACACACACGCACACACATATACACATACACACACACACACACTACACACACCACAGACACACACCACATTCACACACGC